AGTACTACTGCCGACACTAATAATAACGACAACAGCCACGGCTTTAATAACACAAAATAAAATAAAATAATACGAGTAAGAAATCTGTTCGCAATATTTATTTAAAGTGAGATTTTACAAATAGCAACAATTGGCCTTAAATTTATGTTTGCCAATATAAAATGGTAACGATGATCTGTATTTTTAAGCATTTTCATACATTAAACAATTGCTTTACGTTTGTGAAACGTTGCTGTATGAGAGAGAGCGATGGTGTGAGCCAGATTTTACATGACAAGCAATTATATTTAGCAATTAGCGATGGAACGACAGATTTGTTTGTCTAGGCGCACGCGAAAGATTGCTTACTTGTTTTAGCAAAAAAAAAAAAAACGTTCACGATACAAACAAAAAGATTAGCACAAATGAAACAAAGTTGGAGCAAAAAAAAAGAACGCTGACAAAAGACCGATTGGATGCGAATCGCATTTTGGTTTCATTTGTACAAGTGTTTTCCAGAAATACATGCATGATTCTTTTGCTGATTGAATAGAAAGTTCTTCGAGATTTATTTTTCTGTTGATTTTTCCATTTTATCGATATTGTTCAAGGAACTCAGCCTCCGTGTGATTGATTGTTGCTCAATATATTTACACAAGTTGCGTAAAATACAATTTTATTTACGTTCGACAAAAATTTGGCGAACAAATTCATCTGTGAATAAGGTTGGGTAAATAAGATTGGCTTGTGTCGTTTACTGAAAAAAAGAAGAAGATTCGGTCACTTTGAAACTAATGCACACGGCAAATGCCGAAAAAATCGATAAAAATACCAAATTAATTAGTATATTGGATTGAAAAGAAAAGAGAACCTGCTGTAAAAGGATCGAAAGATAACAAAACAAAAAAAAATTCACATAAGAACTGGATGCCATAAAGAATTCATTCACTTGACTCTCTTTTTCTCTCTCTTTCTTGACCAAACAACGCATTTCTCGAATAATAATTCACATTCACACACGAATCCATCGATTCGAAATGGTGCATGAAACCCTGAGAGACACACATTTTCAAAATAAAATAAAACGAAGAAAGAGAGAGAGGACGAGAGAGAAAAGAGTAAATACGGTGAAAAGAAGTTTCATTTAGGTAGACAAAAAATGCCATTATTACTAATTCGATCTATCGCGCGCGGCATCATCGACATGGGATTGCTTTCGAAAAAATTGGAGACACCAGCCTGCCGTTTGTATGAATGGAGAAAGAGAGAAATAAAAGAGCAAAAGAGATGCATTTTAAATAGTAATGCATTTTTGTGGAAAACATTGAATTGCCTCGAAAAATCATCGAATATAACCGATTCGATATATACATATGCAGTCAATAGAAAGAGAAAAAACTGGCTGAATCACACGATAAATTAACGAATGAAAATGATGCGTTTAACGAAACACATATCAATTTTCGACTAAATCGAAAATGTATTCGAAACAGATTAGAGCCGTTGAAGAGTCCAAAGAATAAGATGAAGTAGAAAAAAAGAAATAGAAACCGAAACAAAAAAAAAGTCAGAAGAAACTGGTTCGGGTCGTTTCGGAATTTTGAACGTTTATATGGAAATTTCCGAATGGATATTACGTTCTTTACTCACGGTACTCTCCCAAGCTATGTATGTTTGGTCAAAATCACCATTCCACTAGAGAGACAATGGTTACACACATATACACTTATTGGCGGTATGAGGTTGAAAAAAAAGAGAATAACTGACTGATCCCATTCATTGCTTGCTGTGGCAACAATTTTCATTTGAGAAGAGAGAGAGAACAAAATAAATCAATAATGCCAGTGATATGAAAACGATTACAAAAGAAACAATGTCGTGATGTGTGTCTGTGCGCATGAAGAGCTAAGGTAAACACACAAGACTCTAAAGCAACAATTGAACATTTCGGAAAGTCGGATGAAGATTGTTCTCTCGAAAATGCTATGATTTAACCCATCCGAACTTGTCGCAATATAACCTAATATCTATTTCCTTATTATCATCCAACATTCTTGGCATCTTAGTGTGTGTACTTTGATCAAAGCGTTTCGTTTAAATATTTATCCACTATTTATGTTTATAATTTGTGAAAATGCATCGTTTTCATTTGTATGTACAGAAAGAATCCGGCTATGTTTACTACCATTAAACTGAGCACCGAGAGTGATGTGTGTGGCATTAAATCATCAAAACAAATCGTCATTGAGGATTGAGATCATTTACGCAGTTATTTAATAACCTACTACTAATCGGCTCAATATTCACCTGTTTTACTCTTATTGTTATAAAAGTTTCTGGTTTTTCATTGCATCTTCCACGCACTGTTGTGTGTTTATCTAACAGTTTCGTTGCCAGTCATTTATGAGAATTCTTTGTGGCGATGAGTGTTAATGAACTGATACCGAATTTTCGAGAGACCAATGTCCAAACTACAATAAAAAAAGTGTTCTAAAAATGTGATCGAATGACGACAGCAAACGAAATATATACAATCTTTTGCTGGTTCGCAAACAAGATATTCTTTTTTTTTGTCTCCGCTTTTGTTTGATCAGATTTTTTTCCCTCGATTGTTTCCTATAAAAAAATACCTGTCGTCATTTGTATCATATTGCATATTACGATGTAATAATTGTGTGGCGAACTCAGCTGTTGTGAATGTGAAAAGAAAAATTGCGAATGATTGAGTTTTTCGGCTTTGATATTTCGGAATTTTTAATGTCTCGATAATTTCAGTTGTAACAAGTCGCATTAATATGAATTAGTGAGAGCATTGTGATTACAGCCGTACACAAAAAAAAATGGTTTCCCTTTAAGCGCATTCATATATAACATTAAAAATGTTTATTGTATGTTTCCTTTTTTTGCGGGTGCGCAAGTGCGCGCGCGCTTGTTATGTTTTAGTGAAAATGCGTGCATTCACATTCCATAAACTTGCTGAGATTTGCTTAAAAAAACGGGTTTTCAAGTGCGCTCGAAATTGCTCTCATGAAATTTTGAAAGCAAGACAGAGCGATATAACTGCACACACGCAGTCCGTATTATCTCATTCGCCTTCTATCTTTCGATCGTTCTTTTGTAAACGCCTGAATCAAGTGAACAAAAAAAAACGGTTAAATTCTTTTGATTTACGTGTTTGGGGGGCATATACACTTGTAAAAGTGTGTGTGTAAGTAAAATATATACGTATGCGCTCACCGAGAGCACCTTTCACTTTGAGCAATTTATGATCAACGAGACACACCGACAAAAAAAATGCCATCGAACCAACGAAAAAGAAACAGATCGGTGAATTAATCGAAATTCATTATTCTCGCTCTCGCGCTGCGTTCAAGGCGATATCGAATACAATATTCAAATGCGAACTCTTCTGTGTGCAAAAAAAACGCGATTCGTCGGTGATAACATCAAAAACCAGCACAATATGAGTAGTTAGCAACATCCATAGCAACATAACAACGTTAGACATTTTTCGTACGATCATTGACCGTACACTTTACACACATAGTTTCATCGTAATAAAAAAAAACGATTTGGATCCTTGTATATCTTTTCGCTGTGCTTTGCTTTTTTTAACCACACTCAATGTTGTGGGTATGAGTAGAAAAAAGCTATATTAATCGATTTTAGTGCCAAACCATTTTAAAGAGTCGACTCTATTCGCTGTCGTGTAGTCCTCTTGATTTTAATCTAATCAAAACACCTGTATTTACTGAATAATTTCAACACACACTCGTGCACGCATCAAACTCTTCTTTTTCCATTCGATTAAGATAACGTGCATAATAATATTCGTTACTTGGAACACTCTCTCATTGAATTATTTAGTAATTCTGATGGAATTATTTTTTTCTTTTGACGATTAGTTTTATGGAATGGCGAGAGAGCTGGAAACTGGCGTCGTTGACAAAATTCTTTTTCTTCATTTTTGTAATCAGTTTAATTTATTGCATACGCTTTTATAGTCTAAAACGCGTGATAAATAGATAATCAAACGTACATACAAACTACTTTTTTCTTGTTTATCTCCGGTTGGAAATGGAAGAAGGAAAGAATATCAACAGAAACGGTTTTTCTCTCTCACTCTCTTCTACGTGTCAACTGTAATGTGTGTTCCGTTTTCATTTTGTCGAAAATCAAACAACATTCAATTTTTTTTTTTTCGTTTTATTTGATGGATTTTCATTTCTGAGATAATGGTTGAACCATAGTTTACTAAACTTTTATATATTCATGTCACTTTTTTCGGCATTGTTGTAGTTAAAAAAGCACGTAACAATATATACATGAACAAGGAACATACGATTACGCATCGCTTACGCAATGATCAACAACCACAAAAAGAGATCAAGAAACTGAACTGCGAGATACACACATGCCCATATATCAGAAATACTGAACTGTGTAAATATAGAAAAGATTGAGTGACTCGACAGAGACGGCGAGAGTTCGAGCGTCGCAAACGGAAATCGGTCGCTTGATTTCAGAAAAAGTGACTTGTACGACAAACATCTTCTAAATAAGTATGTTGGGATCAAAGCATCACTTTCAAAACGTTCTAAGTGTGTCTACCTATCAAAAGCAAATACATGACTTTTACTCGGAATCTGTCAACTTCTCGGCCACAATTTCTCAGCCGATGACAAATTTTCTCTTTCTCTCTCTCTCTCTCGCTCTCTCCCTCGATCGTCGCTCTTAATGTCTCTCTACATGTATGCCAATCACGGCGCACTATCTCCGACTGCTGTTGTTGCTTCCGTGTATAAAAATATGAATGAGCCCATTCAAACAAATGAACGAAATAAAAAATTGAGTTCATTACACTCTCTTTCTAGCACTAACGCCAATAAATTATTTGAATTAGTTGTGATATGATTTGTGTAGGATTTGTGATTTTTAGAACTAATTTTTATTGCTTTTTATATCATTGGAATGTTTGAATGAGTCAATCTAATCAATTATTTCTTTTCTTTTTTCTACAGAAGAAGAAATTGACGTTGTGTCTGTTGGCGATAAGAATTTACCAACAAATCCATCGGCTCGTGATCGTCGTGCATTGCAAAATAAAATCACCTCACGTATGGTTAAAACAACAACAACCGGTTCACATACGATAGACCGTCGACGCATTTCAAATGGTTCATCCGATGATTCGGCATATGCGAGTAAAGGTTCACCGGAAATTGCATCGCCAAATGTTGTTGGTTCACCAATTCGATTAGTCGCATCACGTAAACGTGTTAGTCCACCAACTCCCGTTGCCCAAATTCCAACCGCAAAACGTTCGAAAGTTTGCAAAAAAGTCACACCAAGCCCAACAAATGGACGCAATGCATCGACGTCCAACGGTGGTGGTAGCGGTGGTAGTGGTGCCAGCAAACGTAATCAAACAGTTGACAATGGCGAAGAATTGGGAACGATAGAAAAGCGAAATTTGCACAATGACATGGAACGGCAACGTCGTATCGGTTTGAAAAACCTTTTCGAAAACTTAAAAGACAAAATTCCATCATTATGCGAAAAAGAGCGTGCACCAAAGGTAAATATTTTGCGTGAGGCAACAATTTTATGCAGTCGATTGGCACATGAAGATGAAGACTATGACCACCAAATACGCCGACGACATCGATTACAACAGAGGCTCAAATATTTGCGCGAACAAATGGCTGCTCGCGGTATGTATTGAAGAACATCCGAATTTTGTATCATGTGAGAACCAAAAACAAAAAAACAAAAACTACGACAAGATACAGAAGATCGAGACGAACCAAACATTTATTTTATTTAAATCGAATAAGAACATAATGATGAAAAAAGAAGAACGATGGAGAGAAAGAGATCAAACTCGGAGAGAAGAGAAAAAATGATAACAAATAAATAATGCATTATTTACATTTATGATCATCACCAAAACCATTACCACCAGAATGGAAAACAATTCAAACGAACCAGTTTTCGATGCGATTGATTCGAATTTTTTTTTTTTTAAGAAATTTTTACCGAAACAAAAAAAAACAACTAATTTTTTGTTTTGCTTTTAAAACGATAATATACACAAAACAAAAATTTCTTATCCACATTGAACTTTCTCGACGCTGTCACTGCCTCAGTCGAGACTCAGATGCGAGTGTAAATATATGATCGAAATGAAAAAGCAGTAACAACAATGACGATTGAAAATGAACCATTTTTGAGTCAAATACTAATTTGTGCGGAGCACATTAGGATATGATGTCGTTGTTTTCCAAAAATAGACCCCATCAACAAGAAACGGCCAGCCCCGGAGCTGATTCGAATATACAAAACTCAAATACACGCCCGGTGCGCGCTAAATGACATGGATGCGAGAACATTTGCAAGAAATACAACAACAACAACAAGGCAACGATCGCAAAATTCAATGTTTGTACGCTTTTTACTATTTACTACTTGATGATATATATAGAGAAGAATTAAATGAAGAAAAAAAATGTAAAACAAGAAAATTAGGTGAATAGCAATTTAAGAAGTAGAATATTACAACAACAAATTATATGCTTTTTTTAAAAGAAATACTATATGATATAACAACAACATTATTACTATGCATAAAACACACACACATATATTATCACATAAACAATTTATGGACATTTAAGTAATAATAATTAATAATATCGAGATATATTAAAAAAAGAATGGCAAATGTAAAGATGATGTGTAACCACAAATTCGATAGATGAAAAAAAACCATCAAATCAAGCTAAAACAGACGCGTACACACTGTTGCGCTCACGTTAGCGCACACACACACTTGCTGCCACTGCTTCTTGGTGGTAAAAAAAAGAATTATTATATTTGAAAAATATATATCGATATTTTGTTAGAAGCTATTTTTTAATTGCAGCTTAATTGAAAATATGCAAAAGAAACCTTCATTAAAATGAAGAAGCGTAATGATTTGATGAGAGAAGTAGCAAACAGCAACAACAACTCTTGATTAGAAATAATGATGTAATTAAAGAGTATGAAAACAATTTGAAGAAGTAAAAAAAACACACACACACACAGATTAGATAATTATGATATAAAATTATATTACAAAATTAATATGAATATTACTAATATGAAAGAAATGTTTCCTTAACCTCTATTGAAAAGTGAGCTTTTGCTTTAGAAATAACATTGAACGTTTTTTTTATTTAAAGAAAAAAAATTAAGCTTATATTCTTGAATGATGATAAAAAAAAAACTAAGATAAAGAGTGTGTTTCATTAGAGAGTATAACAAAATATTCTATTATTATTACTATTATTACACGGTTTTGAATTTAAACAAGAATTAAACAAAAAATCCTATAAATGAATGTATCTAAAAAAAAATGAAAAGAGTAAAAACTAGAAACGTAGGTTTAGACACCGAAAAAATAATAATTAATCTGATTTTTGAAAGATTAGTGCGTTTTGCCAGTGCAAATGAAATTCTACATAAAAAAAGAAAACCATTGTTATTGCACACTGCCATTCATTTCAACCATCATGTTGAACAGAGGTAGAGATAATCGCAGACAAAAACCATCATTGGCAAAAACACACAAAATTACACAAACATAATATATTATAACAACATTATTACTCCCCCTATTATATTCTTAATTTGTTTTTATTATAATAAATCTTTTTTTTTTTATGTAGAACATAGAGATTCTTGTTGAAACGAAATGAAAAATAACATGCGAAAATGAAAATATCGATAGTTATTTTCCGTCAAATGGAAAAACAAAATAAATTCTAATGATATAACATAAGAAGATGCAGAAAGAATTAAACAATTGACCGAAATAGTTCAGCATGCAAGACAAGAAATAAAACAAATTAAAAATGACACGATCTTTTTTTTTGGTTTTGCGAGTAAATAGAAATGAAAACCATACATACGCAGCAAGAAAATAACAATAGTCAAGTAAACCAAATTGGTAGAGACAAAATAAACACAATCACACATACCTGTGCTATTTGCTCCGTTTGAGCATAGATGATATTAATAGATGCCTAAACTGTTTTTTTTATAAACACATTTTTACACTGATCAAACAAGCAAATTTTTTTTAAACCCACATAAACATTCATTTTTTTATACAAAATGCAAATGCAATAGAATCGATTAAGAACGCAAAAAAAACCCCAAACGAAAATATTTATTTATATACACATATTCATCTATGATCACGAAGTAAATCTAAGGTAGTCATGAAAAATAAAAAACAATTTAAACGCCTGATAAGAATCACCACATACATACACATACACACAACCACCACCCCCACAATAGAATTTTTTTATATACTTAACATATAACTGATACAAATTCAAAAAAACAAAGAGAGAGAGACACATTCAACACAAGATATTTCGATATTGAAATTGATTGATGATGAAACGAATACTTAACGGATGTAATTTTCATTTTTTAGAAAATTTTATAATATTTACCGCATTTATTGCATATGTAATACAATAATAAAAAAATATATATTTTTTTAACAAAAGAAAGAAGAAAAACACACACACAACAAAAATGAAATACCAGATTATTTCGGAAAACTGTTTAACTAAAAGTTGTGAGATCAGAATATTATTTTATTTTACTCTATGAGGAAAAACGATCGAATATTGACGATAACAGCAACAATTTCAACAATTGAATAAAACATTATTAATTACGCATAATAAACACACGTAATGTCACTTACTATTTAGGTTTGATAAGAACCCCAAGAAATTACACAAAAACACACACACTTAATGTAAATATGAAACAACACCATATGCAAACCGTAGACACAGTGCTTTTAAAATGAAATAATATTCAAACCGTTTTTGGCAAATCGAGCCCCTCTTGAAAATATCCGAGGTGGCGCATATATGCATATATATTCACATATTCAGTGAATGCCACAATTTGTGTCACATCGCACATATGCATTCATTGAAGAAAAAAAACACGAATCGAAAGAAGAAGAAAAAAAAAATATATATGAAGAGTTCTATTCGAGTACGTAGTAATGCCATCGATACGCACGAATCGCGCATAGAACTTCTGAACCCAACAATCGTAAAAAATCAACTTTGTATAAATGATATTGTCATTTGTTTTCTTTATTCATTTTATGCTATACAATTTTTTTGTCGTCTGTAATGGTTTTTATTACGCTTTAAGTTTTATTGATTACGTGTAACCCGATAGTTCTTTCTTTTTTAAATAATAATTATTTTGGGTTTGTTGTTTTTTAAGTCTTACCAAGTGCGCAACAGAGAGAAAAATACAATTTGTATTTCTAATAAACACCGAAGAGCTTGAGCGAAAGGCACGTGGACACACTGGAGTTAATTTGTAATGTGTACCGTGCACATTTATTCGAAAAAGATTCAAAAAAAAATTAACGATGGTACCAATATCGTTATTTCCGATTAACACTTTAGTTTCAGTGGCGCAATATCTAATTGTTGACTTTTCTAGCGCGTCTCCTTGACACTCCACTTCCAGGAAGAACTGAAACGAAATAGACTGCCACTCGTCTTGTTGTGTGTACAATCAATCTATGCTCTTTCGATGCGTCTCTTTTGGTTTATTAGTTTTTACCTTTTGCATTGGATGTTTGGTGAAGTAAAACAGAGATGGGAAAACAGTACGTTTTTCGTATAATAATTTAATTCTAGTTTATAACGATCGATATGCATCGTTTGTCTTTCGTGTATTGTTAAATCTTTTATTGTTTTTTTCTCTTTTTTTTGCATTTATTTTAAAACGCAAGCGCGCAAGATATTTTTTTATATATATACACGATTGCGTTCTAATTTCAATTACGTGATTTATTTTCAACGTTCTCTGTCTTTATTCTCTCTCGTTCTCAATGAAAAATAATCAAATAAAATAGTCGGCCTTCTTTATTTTGTCTTTGTGTGTTGAAAATCTTTTAATCGATTTTATTTCAACTAGTTTGCGGCGAGAACGGCATTTTTTTTTTTTTTTCAAAGAAATATTCAAAACAATCTCCGCTCGTCAAAAATCACAAATAAATTTTTTCTCGTTATTTTCTTTTACTTTTGATCCTAACTTAAAGAGCCGACTTTTGCGCACTCATGTTGTTCGAAAAATGAGGAAAAAAAATGGTGTGTTGTTGAAGAAACTGTAGAACCACATACAGCATGAAGCAGTAAATAATGTGTCAAAAAATATGCAAAAAAGAGAAATCATTTTTTTGTCAAAGAAAAAAAAAGCGAAAAAAAAGAAGTCTTTAATTTGAAAAGAAATAGAACGAATAAAGAAATGAAATCTGTATACAAACCTGTGAATCTATTTTATAAATGCAAAGAAATTTTTTTTTGAAGATAATAACAAAAGCATAAAAAATCCAAACAAAAAAATTGTAAAAGTTTCATTCAACTAACGATGATGGACGAAAAAAACTATATATGACAAAAAAATATTTACTACTATTCGAAATGCAATTTTCTGTTCGCGTGCTCAGTCTCCTCTCGCACACACATACATATATACACACGCATTGGCGAAACAATTGTGCGCGCGAATTCGTTTGCGATTAAATAGTCGCGAACAGAACACAACAAACACCATCAAAAGAATTGAAGAAAAAAAATCGAATTGCAACAACTTGATAGACGTAGAGTTATGCATTTAACAATTTACATACATTATAATTTTTTTTATTACTAATTAAAATGAAAAATATTTCAAATCAGAAAATAGAAATAAAAAAAATCAATATGCATGCATATTATGTTGACCTTTAAGTAATAATACACTTTAAAAAAAAAATAAAGAAACAAAAAACACACAAAAAAAATTGCTGGAATTTTTATTTACTACCATTAGACTTGCAGATTTTTCAGATTCATCACACAGAAGTAAATGGGCTTCTTCATTTTCTTTTCGTGATTAGCGCGCTTTCAGAATGATGATGCGGACATTTTTGGATACGAAATGAAGATAGGTAACGTTTAATTGCTGATGCGTCATAAACACACTGCGTTTGTGATTTATCACTGTTGGAATGCGACGAGAGAGAAAAAAACGGCACACACGCTAAACTTTTTTCACGTGTCGTTGTGATTTTAAGGTCACTGCCTTCTATCGGTTGTGAAGGAGAATAAGAGGACTCTCCGATGATTTCATATCATTTGATTATCTATGAATAGCTTTCTATCGTTCTACCATAACGACGTCGTTCTATTAGACAATGTTTTATAGCATTTTTTTTTTGTTTTGGGAATCAAACGGAAGTTTTATAATCTTGTTCGTTTATCAACTCGAATTGGTGCAAAGTAATTGGTTTCAGAGACAAATGTCGCTTTTGTATTTCCTTTCCAGATTACAGGTGGGTAAAATGCCGACAAACGGCAAGGAAATAGTTCATTCTGATAAAAATCACATTGGTTAATTGAAATTAAAAAACGATCCTCGAAATGAATTTTTTTTCAATTCGAAATCCGCTTCGATTTCAATGGAACGCACTTTTCTCTGAAGGTAATTTTCCGTATTTGAACGTCATGTAAATATCCGTTTTCTTATTCCGATGGAACGCATATAGAAATGGTATTCCTGGAAGTTTTAGTCATAAATACATACAATCATTTATGTATTTTACCTGAGCGAAGACTTTGTTTGCTATTTATCGTTGTTTTCTACTTCTTCGTTTTTGTTTGTTGCCTTTCAACAACCGATTTCGGGTTTTTTCTTCCTGAAGTCTTTCTCCCGGCAATCAACCATTTGTCGATTCTTTCCATTTTACCACCATCGTCACTCTTTTCTCCCTCTCTCTCTGTTTTCTTCTCTTTTTTTTTGTTTATTTTGAGCATTCGAAACGCTCAACCTTTTCAATTTATCTTGCTATCATCACATCGAACAGAAAGAAACTTTAATGGAAGCTAGAAACAAAAAACAACGTAAAAATTTCATAAAAATTGAACGAAAACGCATGAAAAAACAACAACAGCACCGAATGAACGACCAAAACCAAAGAGATGCATATGAAATTCTCAGGCATACAGAATGAAGAAGAAGATTTGTTTTTCTATGGATTATATTTAATTTTGCCAAAAGATATCTGCCGAAAACCAAACACAGCCGAAACAATGGCCATTCTGATCATTACAATGAATGACGAAATGATAAGCTTTAGAAAAGGTTTCTTTTTTTATATATTTCAATTGCAAAGACACGAAAATGTGAAAGAAAACGATGAGCTAAAAAATGCGATCCATTTGCACAAAAGTGTCTATGAGAGAATGAAATGTCAATGACAAGAACAAATTCATAAATGTATTGTTGTAAGTGAAGCTCGAGTCGATTGAATATGATTTCATGATTGATAAGAATATATTGGATGGGAAAAATGTAACAAGAACTGTTTTGTGTAAATAACCCTATTGATGTCTTTGACAGTTTAAATAGCTTGTTTTCGTCTGAATTTAGACTGTCATCGTGGCGGGAGTTTTTCAATCACACGGATTCACACTTGGAAAATGGTTTTCGTACTGTGAGTCAAAACGACGGATCGAACGTTTTTTCGATGACAAACTCAGTCGAACAATTTTCACATACAGCGAATGGTAGAAAAAAAGTAGTATTATAGGATCGTTGATCAATTTTCACATCATT